TTATTTTACATTTGTGTTAGTTTATATATCATTGCTCATATCTTGTTGAATATCATTCTTACTAGGATATATTGTTAATTACTTTTAAATTAGCATAAATTGGATTAGTTTAACATAAACCCTATTCACCCCCCTCTAGGGTTCTTTCCTAGTGGCATTAGGGTGCTTTCAAAATCCAATTTCATGTTAAGTCCAGTTTTTGTTCATGTTAAGTCTAGTTTCATGTTAAATCCAATTTATCTTGTTAAGTCCAGTTTTGGTTCATGTTAAGTCTAATTTCATGTTAAATCCAGTTTTGGTTCATGTTAAATCTAGTTTCATGTTAACTCCAGTTTGATCCGTGTTAACTCCAGTTTGGTTCGTGTTAAGTCCAGTTTAAATCATTTAAAGTCTAATTTAAATCATTTTAAGTCTAATTTCATATTAAGTCCAATTTGATTAATGTTAAGTCTAATTTAGTTCATGTTAAGTCCAATTTAATTCATATTAAGTCTAATTTAATTCATTTTTAAGTCTAATTTATACCATTTTATGTCTAATTCAACTTATTTTAAATCTAAAAAACAAGTTGAATTAGACTTAACATGAATCATGTTAAGTATATTTCAACTTATATTAAGTCTAATTTCAATCATGTTAAATACATTTTAAGTCTAATTTAAATCATGTTAAGTCTAATTTAACTTTTTTAAGTCTAATTTCATGTTAAGTCAAATTAAATTAGATTTAAAAAAGTTAAATTAGACATAACATGATTTAAATTAGATTTAAAAGGAATTAAATTTGACATAATATGAATTAAATTGGACTTAACATGAAGTTAGACTTAAAACAAGTTGAATTAGACTTAACATGAGTTATATTAAACTTGAAGCAAGTTGAATTGGACATAACATGATTTAAATTAGACTTAAAATGAATTAAATTAAATTTAACATGAACCGAATTAGACTTAATATGAAATAGACTTTGATGTTGAGTCTAATTCAACTTGATTTTAGACTTAACATGAAAGAATAGAGGAAATAATAACATTTTGGGGTTTTTTTTATTTTTTATTTCCTCTTTATGCTTATTTGGCATGTAATAATTGCTAAAGAAGGACTACAGAACATAGAGTTTTTGCTTTTGAGGCTAAATCACATGAGAAAAAAATAGAGGAGCTGAAGCACGTGAAGTTTTTGATTTTGAGACATTGACGCAATCTACTTCTTTATTGCTAAAGTAGAACAACAAAAATGCTAAAATGAACAGTAACCTAAGGTTCTGAACAATGAAATCCTAATAAGCATTTTCACTAGCCACGTTCTCAAAATTTCTGTACTCCCCATCAAACTTCCCTTCCTACGTTCTCCACGATTCCCACGATTCTCTCTCTTCCTCTTTCAATATTTCCTTTCAATCCCCACTTCCTCCTCTCTATGCTCACTCCCCAAACACAACGAGATCTTCGAAAGCCCACTAACATCAAGGCCTACAAAGACGACGACCCCCTCCGCTTCCGATCCGGATCTAGATCCGCAAACCCGACAACCCAAACCCACTTCCCCCACTTCCCCTCCACTTCCAGCTCGTCGGAAAACCCCAAACCCTAACTCAACGGAACTCGCACCGACATCCTGCTCCAGTGGGGCCACAACAGGAGGTCGAGGGGCTCGAGATCGGCCAAGAGCCATCGGACGACTGTCGATGAGTCTTCGGTCCATCCGAGACCACATGTCAAGATCCAACTGCGGGTGGCGCTTGTCGGAGCCGAGAGGATGTTCGCGGTGACTGACGCATCATCGATGCCCATGCCAAGGGTAGCGGGTCGGAGGGACTGCTTGCCATTAAGGGATTCTACGAATTCAAGTTGGGGTTTGTCCTTTGTAAAATTGAATTTTTTTCGTTAGCTTCCTGATGTAGGCTGTCTTAAAATTTATAATTTTGATATCTTTGTAGTATTTCCATAATTTTAGTTGGGTTTTATTTGTTTTTTATTTTGATATCTTTGGAGCAAGATGATGATGAAGATAAAGAAACCAAATACCGCTTAGATCCAAAGTTTCTTTTTTATTTAACTTGCTTTTAAAGATTATTCTCTGCCAACTTCTCTTAGATTAATTTTGATTTTAGGTATGCTAATATCAAAACACCAGGGAGACATGATAATTTCACTTCTGTATGTATATTTTCCCTAATGTATTTATTCAACTTGCATATTCTTTCAATATAATACATTTCAGACATTTCAAAATAATACGCTTTAGACATTTTAGAAGTTGCTGTCATTTGCATAGGTGTCCATTGAGATGCATATAAATTACCAAGTTTTTGGTTTAACATTATAGTTTTCATTTTGTGAACTGTACAATTTTATGAAGATTCAATCCTGTAGTTTCAATAACATTTTTCTTGCAAGCAATTCTCTTCAATATTTGACATAACTTTGTTCAAACAATTGGCAGAACAAATCCTTTGCTGGAATTTAAATCAAGCAAACTGTACATAGGAATATATCGTTTATTGGATTATGTTTCTATTTGTTTGATTCATCCCATGAGTTAACCCCTTATGAAAGTGAAGCTCCTTTTGTCATTTCAATTTGTTTTCCAGTTTACCCATCACATTATTATAGATTTTAGTTGGATTTTATTTGTTTTTCTTGCGTTACTGCATATAAGTCTTTCCTTTTACATTTTAAAGTAAAAATTTGGTATATTTTCATACATGGTTTGTTGTTTATTGTTGGCCATCGGCGCCGCTGCCTACGGTGATTCCGGCAAGCGGCGGCGGTGCGCTGATGGATCTTGAAGCCAGCGATGATGAGGTTCAGATGTGGTCCTCTCCGATAAGAATTCCTCAGATTTCATTTGTTTATCTTTATTGGTTTTATTCATTTTTATGGCTTTCATACTTAATTTAGGGTTCTGATGAGTTCTTGAAATGATATGATGATTGGAGCAGGACAAATTTCCCCTATTACAATGGTATATGGTCACGGATATAAATAAGGATAAAGATGCGACACAAGCACACTTATGGATCAAAATATTGAAAATTTGTCACCTGCATTTGTGTGTTTTTTCATCTTTTTTTAATCCTTTAAACTATGTTTTAATCATAATTTGTTATTGACATAATCTGTAGGTACTGAAGCTGCATCCTGAAAACCTATATGCTGCCAATGGTACTGGAGCTATCTTGGCTGAAAAAGGTCACATTAATGTTTCAAAGGATATATTTTCGGAGGTTACTTTTGGTTACGCATCAGCTCTTTTCTTTAGTTAAAAATTTCATTAGTTCTTTTACATGACTTATTTTTGTAATTTAGGTGCAAGAAACTGCATCAGGGAGCATTTTTGTTCAGATGCCAGATGTGTGGGTAAATTTGGGCAATGTTTATTTTGCTCAAGGACATTTCGCCTTAGCTGTGAAAATGATAATTATAAGAACCCTGAATTTTTTTTTGTCAGAAGCATTAAGTGTGACAAATTGCTCTTTTGCAGTACCAAAATTGCTTGCAAAAGTTCTACTACAACACAGACACGGAGGTCCTTCTATATTTATCCTTCACTCATTATTAGGCAGAACAATGGAATGAATGTAAAAGAACTTTGCAAAGAGCTATTCATTTGGCGCCCTCAGATTATACGCTTCGGTTTGATTTGAGGGTTGCCATGCAGAAGTTTTCTGCACCAACACTGCAAAAGAAGAAGAGAACTGCAGATGAGGTTATATGCTTCTATTCTTTAAACATCAATTTCATTATCATACACTTCATAGTTTCATCAAATGGTTAAACATTACTATTTCCTTAAAATTACACCTAAAGCAAATTACCCAGATTGGGATTCCACACTATATACAGAGGGCCTTTCTCAACAGGAGATTTTCTGAGATCTTACTACTTTATGTATTGTAGTATACTCATTGTTCAGATAATTTAAAAAAAATCCTCAGTTGCCCTGTAATCTATGGCTCTTGATAGGATTCTTGCAAATGTAAGCATGTGTGTCATTATGTGTTATCTTCAGGTGCCTTCTACTCTGTAACTATGATAGGATTCCAGAAGAGTGAATTTTTGTGCACTTGCGTAATTTGGATTCTCAGATTTTCTTTTTATTTGCTATTCTTGGTAGCATTTGTTTTCTTATAATTTGTTTATTTGCCGATGATGCTTTTGAATGCTTCTGCAGTGGTTTTTATATGCATTTTCTTTTTTGCAATTCTCATTTGTAGATGTACATGTACACTACTGCTCTTAATGAAAAAAACAAAAACAAAATCTTCAACTCCTTTTTTTTATGTGATGCTGGCACACAATTAGGCCAAATCGTAATGCACAGGACAAATGTTGTCTCAATTTATTTCTCTGAAGTTGAGTTCCTTGGATTAGATCTGTAGATCGATAATACTTTATAACTTTCTCATTAGTTTCATGATTAATAAGCAAACACATATATAACATGCATTATTAGAATCAAACATACATTTAGTTAAATTATATTAAAAAGTTATCGAATCGAATTGTTAATAAACTACCTAATCGAACATACCTTTGGTTAGATTCTATCCATTTATAAGCCGAACACTAAAAATTATTTGTTTAGTACTAAATGAACTATCGAAATAAACTTCTGAGAATATTTGGACGAATAATAACCAAACAGTTTATTAATTATTCGGTTCACTTTCACCACTATACTTCATATCTAAAGCAGAATACTTTATTTTCGTAACATGTTCAATATTTACAGAAAATCTTCTAGAAACCGTGCTTTGCACTGATCTAAATACTAGTTTTTTGAAAAAAATAAAAAAAGAAAAACACATTAAGACCCCATAAGTATCTTTCTTCAGCAGTAACTTCCCCTACGTATCTTCCTTCAGCAGTAATTTCTGAACAAGTAACAAATAAAAACAACAGCGGACGCGGAAACTGCTGCGTCGGTCTTAAGCGGACCCCACGACCACCGGCCGCTGGAAAAATCCCATATTTCACTTTCTTACGACTAACTGACTCAGAAGTAGAAATTGACTAATTTTTCTATCTTCTGTCGCTGGCACTCGTGACTCCGGCGAGTCCACGGCCCTCACTTTGGAACCCACGACGAACCTTCCCTTTTCTTTCTCACTCGCCCCTTCCCTTTTAATACTTATTTTATTCTCAGTGCTCTCTTTACCTGTTGCTATTAAAAAATTATTTTTCTTCTGCCCCAGTTTGATAATACCAAACTCGATGACGCAAGACGCGATGAGGCTCGTTGTCCTCTTTATGATGAGATAGGAGATAGGGTTTGCTTTTCTCCCCTCAATCTTTCGCGAAGGTCAGTTTCTGCTGGATTTTTTTTTTAAATTTTGTTTCGAGATATTGTTGGAGTACAGAGTCAATCTCGAATGAAGATGAATATAAAGAGACTTCATTTTATTGAATCCCTAGATTTTAAGATTTGTGATTCGTTAATTCAAATACCTTTCCCCCTTGGCCTGAAGAATATGATGTCTATTTTCAAAATTGTTATTTTAGTTAATCAAGTTTGTATTTTGCCTTTTATTTTGCGGTGTTTGCTTACAAGTTATAATCGATAGTTGTTATAATCGCGAGTGTGAAGTACTTCATGATGGCACCTGGTCTTTTTCTTAAGATCCTTCAATTTGTTAAATTAGAATTAGAATGAGCTGCGTCTATATATTGATGTTCTAGTGCTAAAAGTATCTTGTCGTGTTTTTTCCGTTTATTTTTTTGGTCATTTTCGTGCTTGCAATTGATAGAAATTTTTTCTCCAACCCTACTTGTTGTTTAGTGGGCAAATAACTGATTACTTTTATCTCTTCAATACGCTTTTACCGCTAGTTCTATGGTTGAGTTAAAGATATTCAAGAAAAATACCTGTCAAGGGACTTAGAACTAGTGGACTGTTTGATAAGCGGCGAAAGTTTCTGTATTTGTTATGCAAGCGAAGCTTACAGTTCCTTTGCATCTTTATATGACAATTAAACTCCAAAACATCTTGTGAACATGAGAGGCTTAGTATAGCTGCACTAATTTTTGCCAACTAGTCTTTTTTATATTGGGTCATGGGACTTGGAAATTTGCAAGAACCTGGTGTGAGTCATATGTGTGTTCATTCACAGTTTATTAAAGTAGCATGACTTCTATTTATTATGTGATTTTGCAGCAGCTCAATTATTTTTTGTTTTATTTTCCTATACAGTTACTCTAGAAGTTAAAAGAGACAGGGTTGCTTTGACATTCTTCTTATTTAGAGGTGGCTTTTTAGCCTTTCGATTTATCTTCTAAACTGTGGAATGTTGCCGCCTTATCTGTGGATGGTGAATATCCAAATTATTTGCTTGAGAAATCAAGTATGAATCATCAGGAGGAGAGATTTGTGAGGTTAGTCTTTCTTCTTTAACACTGTATTTAAGTGCATGGTTAGGGGTGGAAGCGAACCACATTCAAATCGAATACCCCAGTATTCGTATTTGTATTCGGCTCCTATCCGACTATTCGAATTCGTGTTTGATTTCGATACAAATAGAAAATCGTATGCGAATTCGATTCAGTTAGTATTCAAATATTTGATAACTATTTGTGAATATTTGTTAATAGTGTTTGGGTAATCTTTGCAAATTATTTGGTCAATATCTGTTAGATATTTGGCAAATATTTGTTATCTCTGTCTTGCAATAGAACCAAACATGATATACCTGTTGAATATGCAACCTAGTGATATATAGTATTCACAAATAAAATCTATTTTTCCATATTTACAAGCAGCAAAAATGAAATTTTAAGGACTAAACTATATGACAAATAGTTTATTAAACAAACGAATCGAATGTACCTATGTATTTGTTTATAATCCGAATAATAAAAACTATTCGTTTATTACTAAATGAACTATCGAATCGAATATCACCGAATACTTAGGCGAATAAATATCGAACAATTTGTTAAATATTTGGTTCGTTTCCACCCCTATTCATGACTACTAGTTGTGGGTGTGTTTAATTAAAATGAAACTTTCTAGCAACTGGGTGCTTGTCTATAAATCAACAAAAAGCAATATCACTGGAAGAATGAGTAATTCCTTTCTAGCTACAGAACAGGGGCGTATTATGATAGGGCATGCATAATTTTTCTGTGAAGAATAAGAAAGAGTCTGGGTCTGCAACTTGAAAATTAAAATATAAGTGTTTAACTGGCATTTGGTCATAATGAATTGTTACCATGTATCTTGGTTGATGACTTCTTTTTGTACTTCACTAGAGAAGCTTGTTACACTGCTAAGGGGAGAGCAAGAAGGAAGGATGAAGTTGTTCATACTTCATACAAATCCTGGAAAACCAAAAGGTCACCAACTTTGGTTTACCTATTGGGGTGGGGTGTGGGATATGGTACTTTGTACGAGAAAGAAAAACTTGAACAAATATAATTGGTAAACCTGAGGATGATGCTTATACCTGAACGCTTGCACTTTAACACTTTATTTTTGTCCTATACCTCATTTTATTACTTCTTGGGTTGGTACCATTTTCAATTTTATCTTGCAGTTTCAGTCATGAGTTGGATATGTTTTCTTTTGCCTTTTATTGCGTGTTCTGTAAGATATAGCAAGATGAAGGAGTACAAAAGATGCTTAGAAATGGTTTTTGGTTTTCTTGTCCATTGTGGTGCGCTATAAGATATACCAAGATGAAATAGTACAAAAGGATGTTCAGAAATGGTTCCTGTAGGCTATGGGAAAAGCCATGATTCACATGCTGGGAATCTAAGTGAATGCTACGCTTACTGACTTTTTATTTTTGGTTGTCACTAGAAAAAGGTCCTCCATCCTCATATGTCGATATCATCAATTGTGCAAGTTTTAATTAACTTTTAATTATATTGATGTATTATGGTCTAAGATATTTTAATTAACTTTTAATTAGATTGATGTATTATGATCTAAGAGAATGGTCTGTTGTCTTTAAACACTCGTCTATGCAGAATTGATTTTTATAACGGAGCTGATATCTTTATAAGGTGATTAGTGGGAGTATTACAACCTCTGGTCACATTAAAATATTTTCCGCTGTACTAAGCGACTCAAATATCTGCAGGTTTCAGGATTGGACTTCTGAACAGTCACTGAGTTCTGATATATTATATTCTGGAAGGCGAAGAGAACTATTTACTTCAATGGCACATGTCATACAAAGAGCAGTCAGTTGGGGATCAGGAATGCTCATGGATATTTTTCACTATCATTCTCCAGAAGACTCGAGCATAAAGGGGCCAAAGTCTAAAAGCAAAGTACTCGATCCCCAAGGCCCATTTCTTCAAAAGTGGAATAAAATATTTGTTCTGTCATGTGTGATGGCAGTGTCTGTGGATCCCCTGTTCCTTTACATACCAGTAGTCAATCGTGACAACCAATGTGTTGATCTGGATTATAAGTTAGAAAAAACAGCAAGTGTGTTGCGGTCTTTCACAGATATCTTTTATTTGCTCCATATCATTTTTCAGTTTCGAACTGGTTTCATTGCTCCTCCTTCTCGAGTGTTTGGAAGGGGAGTTTTGGTTAAAGACTGGTCAGCAATAGCGAGACGATATTTATCATCTTACTTCTTTATTGACATTCTCGCTGTTTTGCCCCTACCTCAGGTATTGCCATCTTTGTTGTTTATATCATATTCATGATATGTTATTGTGGAGTTTATTTGATGCAAATGGTAACTTTTAAGTAAATCTTGGAGTTAAAAGTAGTTTCTTTCAGCAAATTCTACATTTTCCCGTTGATCTTTATTCCTTCTTAGGCTACATGGATTTTAGAGTTCTCTTCAAATGCAAACATTTTCTGGGGTTTAACATTAGCTTTTATGTGTGTGGCATTCAATGCAAGCCTCACATCCTGAAAAGAAGTTTGAACTCTATCAAAATTTAAGCATCATTTAGTTTGTCTAAATGTGCTGGTTAGAACTCAGAAGCATGCGGGTGAGTCAAATGGCTTCTTTATTCTGTGAATGTGTTAATTGTTGTAGTGTTCGGATAGCTTAAAGAATTTTCAAGATCTAATTTCTTTAATGAATAAGTATATTTTTCACTTATCCTCAAAAAAGTTAAAGAAAAACGTGTGACTTTGGCTAAACTTATCTCCCTTAGATTTGTTTTGTTGTCATCACTGATAGGAGGGGATGACGGGGCCTTCCACACAGCTAGATAAAACATGATGAGGAGTTAGTGATGGTCCACCTGGAGCACAACCAGAATAATAGGCGGTTTCAAGCTTCATGGCAACTGGATTTAGGTTAAACTGAAGTGCATAATAGAAATTTTAACTGAGATTATGTTAGCAAATAGGGATTTTGTGTCTTTTCTTCTGGATTTAGTATATCAATGTTTAATCAAATCCACTGGTTTGTCGGAATTTCTTTTGGGCATGTGATTCATTGGAGGTTTGGTTCATTTTGGGCCTAAAGATTGATACCTGATGCAGTAGCAAACCTTATCAAGTTATCGTTTTGCTCATACTCATTGTGATTTTAGGAGAATTTGAAGATGCACCTCAGTCAGATTTGCTTATTGTGCACGACTTAAAATGGTAGGTCTACGTATCTGTGAACTGGCCTCTGTTTTTACCACAATATCTTGACTTGCTCATAATTGTCAAACTGTAACTTCTGCACCATCACTAGGCTTGTTGTTAGGTAGACATACCACCACACCACTAAAACTAGTTTAATTTTTTTCATGTAGCTTCTCTGGCGTTCTAATCATGCTTTTGATCCAACTTGATGTAAAAAGGGGTACATAAGTCTCATTCCTTGTGCATTGATGCCTATCGGTCTTGGGAGAATGTTTCTGTATGTAGAATATAAGGTTGTTGGTTTGATGAGTAGTTCAATACACGGTGAACCCTGACTTCACAGTTAGTGTTGAGTTTCTGATGAAAAAGTTCAATACACGGTGAACCCCTGACTTCACAGTTAGTGTTGAGTTTCTGATGAAAGAAACTGTGGATGTACCATGCGATTATAATGCAAGACAGCTGAATGATATATCACCTTTGGCGTCTTTGATTTTGGAGCTGATATCTTGGCCATATGAATTTTGAAGGCATGTGCTTAAACCTTTTTTAGTCAGGAATTAAATGAGTAAAGATTGGACACAGTCAGATTGTATCCTACACTAACTAGGATTAAATAAACGGTCAAATTGATGAAGTGAGATGAGCTATAAATACGAGACTCTGGAGTCATACAGGGAGGTAGTTTGGGCATGTGCTTAGGTGATTGACTTGTTTGAGCTTAGCCTTTCTGCTAGGCCTGATTGGCTTATCCAAAAGACGTGAGGGAATATTAATCTGAACACTTGGTTTTTGATAACCTGTTGACAACTGACCCAAAGAGGAGTCCTAACTAAGACTAGTTTAACACGTTCACATCCACAGAGTAATCTTCCATCTTTCTTTTCATTTTCGTGCCACATTATATTTTGTAACCAGAAGAAATAGCACCCTTGTGTAGTCAGTAGCCCCATATGCATACAGAAGACATCTTTACTCTGCTTCTATTTGTCCATTGAAAATGTAACCTCAGCTGACTTATCAACGCATATAAAATCCTTCTGACTGAAATCAGAAAAGAGGGAAATCTAATCCTTGGTGCTTGGCCATGGTCATTTTTAAGTTCGATTATTTATTTCACGTGTTTTTCCATAACCATATTATGGTTAAAAATTCTGAGTTACATTTCTGCAGTTTCTGTTTTACTAATGTGATGTTCTAACACAGGCACTTTCAGAAAATTAAAAGAAAAAGAAAAAGAAGAAAATTTGACCTTATAGCTGGCTTTATGAAGACCAACGCTGTGTAGCGAAACCTTTTTGCAGTTATTCTTTCTTTGAACATGTTTTCTGAAATTTATTGCTGCCTTAGTAGTATCTGATGAAAACTACTTATGAAGGTCAACAAACTAGAGTTGGCATGAAATTTAATTGCACTTCCTGTCCATTCAGATTGTTGTTCTCATCATAATACCAAGATTGAAAGGGTCGACTCATCCGGATGCAAAAAACTTGCTGATGCTTATTGTTGTACTCCAATACATTCCCAGACTAGTCAGAATCATACCGCTGTATCTGGAAGTCACAAACTCTGCCGGAATAATCACTGAGACAGCATGGGCTGGGGCTGCCTTCAATCTCTTACTTTACATGCTTGCAAGTCATGTGAGTCCAAAATATCTTGCTGTCGTTGTGTAACTGTTCTCTTGCTCTGTGCTTAACACTATCAATGAAAAATGACACTTCTTAATGTTTTTCTTTGCGTTACTTCTGGTTGTACAGAGATGATTTTTTATTGTTATTACTGGCGGAACTTGAGATCCATTTCATCTTGATTGTCAAACATTTTAGATGGATTCACTTGACACGTTCTTTTTCTTTATCACCATTAAATTTTGCCCCCTCCTTTTCTTGTTAGTCAAATACTTTGAAATTCATTCAGTTAACATATTCATTCTTTGTTATTGTGGAACCAAACCCTCTCTCTTCTTGCTATTTTTATTTCTAAGAAGTTGTTGGTGGTGTTTTTCTGAAGGGACTTCTTCATTTCATAAAACTGTCTCTTTTAGTATTTGTACATGTATGCTTGTATTGGACTTTGGAGTATACTAGTCAGGAACTTGGGGACTTTGTGACACACTTTTCTTGATATTAACTGTTTCTGCCAACCATTTTTCTCAACATGTTAAATGAGATAAGGTTAGAATGAGGCGGTAGTCAATGGAGCGGTGTTAGAACCTGCTTCATTATGACTTCAATTACATCCGCTGAGACCTATGATGTGTTTGCAGTTGGCAATGTGGCAACTTGAAGAAAATCGAAGAAAATTTAATGATAAATCATTTTGGGAATTTAATTGGTGCTTCAATGAAGGTCAAATATGGCTGCGACTTCTTACCTAGTCAATTGATGGAGGATATAGGAGGAATAAAACTATGCACTGTCTAAGTTTTCAAGGAAAGAAAAAATACCTTTCATAATGAAGGATGTCTAAATCCACATATATAAGTCACGTTTACAATGCCTAATTGTTTCTAAGCCCATTGCATTATATATCTTGTCTATAGTCATGCAGTTCACACCACAACATTCACATCTGCTCAGGTTTTGTTGCTCATACTTGGAATCCTCAATTTTAAATAATAAAAATCATATGATTATATATTGAGAACTTAAAAATTTTCATTTCCATCTCTAACAATAATAGTCTTAAGAGATTATCTCCGGCACCCACTCCTTCCCTTCACTCCCCAACCCCACCTCCAACCCGTCCCAAACACAGGCACACATGCACACTCACATTGCATCTATCATATGTTCCTTTGTGATTTTCCAAGGGATCGTCCTACATCACTCAGCTTATGAAGTCATGATGTCTTTGTTTTTTATAATATTCCATAGAATGGACATCCCTGGAGTTTGAACCACATTTACTGTTCTTTGATTTAGTTATCGACTGATAGTTTTGCTTATGTCAGAGAGCCAACATAACTGCCACTGAAAATAATTCTATAAATAAAAAAACTACAACTTTGTAGCATAGATAACATGTTCCAATCTTGTGTAGAATTTTGCCACTTGGTTACTGTACCCAATATATCTGGTTATTCGAAGTGCTGGTTTTACTTAAACACGATTCCTTTTTTAATGGGCTTCAAACATTATTTGAAATTTTCTGTCAGGTACTTGGAGCATTCTGGTACTTTCTTTCTATCGAACGAGAATATGCATGTTGGACACAAACATGTGTTGATACCAATTGCTCAAGCACCTCCTGGTACTGTGGAAAAGTTCCAGTTCAAGTTAATAAGATTGTATCTGCACATTGCAAGATAGATAAAGACAATGAAAACTTCAACTTTGGCATGTACCTTTCAGCTCTTGGAGATGTTGTTCAGTCGTGGAATTTCTGGCCGAAGTTATTTTACTGTCTTTGGTGGGGATTACAAAATCTGAGGTTTGTACAGACTACAAACGACTATTATGTTTCCTGTAATAAATCTTTTACCATTTCTGGCCAAAGGCATACATGTTACTTCTTGTTTGTGATTGAATGATGTAATTCTGATGCAAGCTAGAACTTTATATCCGTGATTTGCTCATAGCCACTGGAAATGTAGTTTTCAGCAATTCCTGTTTCTACACACGTGCATAGATATAAATATAACTTAAATGTATAGAAATTATAGAAAATAATAATGATAACATCACAGCTCTGCACACAGATGCAAGTTCCCCAACCAGCATAATCACTAGTTAGCCAGAGAAGTAACATTATCATTTGTACTAATTTTCCATGAACGTCCTCATGTCGTTTCTTTTGTGTCTTTCCAAAGATGAATTGCTAGGAAAACTCCTGATAGGTCAAGTAGGTAATCTTTATCCTTGAATTGCTCACCAATATCTTAGATTTTATCCTCATTTCCAACTTTAAGCTGCAGATCTTTTAAATATAGGCTGTGAAGGAGCACAAGAAGAGGGAACAAATCTGTTCCTATCTTCCTATGATTTACACCGAGACGCATCTTATATCTCTTGTCATTTGAATCTTAAGAATTGCCCTTCTGTTTGTTTCTAGTCACAGCATCATTTTTGCAAGAAATGTCAAATGTGAAAAATGCAGGTCAATGCCTACTTGTGAAACTACTGTGTTCTGTTGGTCAGTAATGCTTATTTCTTGCCACTGGGCGAGCTGATCCTGGAGCTATATTTCCACTTTTATCTCGTCTCCGTCTCTAGTAATTCTTTCACCCTAAAGGTACAACATGAATTGTGAAAGATTCTACTATCCATGTCCATATCCAGCAATTAATTGAACAGAGTTCCGATTAATTGTAGTAGTGATTGGCCTTCCATTTTCCTGTTCCGATTAAATGTAGTAGTGATTGGCCTTCCATTTTCCTGTCAATGAATCTAACTAAAACCATGTGTCCGTTCAATCTGAAACTCTCATACAGTTGCTGGTTCTATCTCATATCTGTAGACTATCCATATATATTAACAAATTAAAAATTCGTTGAAGTAACTTATTTCATGGTAGTAGTTGTATTCGCTTTCGTTACTGCCTATATTCATTTGTACCTCTAACATGAAATAAGATGTTATTTTATTATATTGATAGCTTCTAGTTTTTTTTCCTGCAGTTCTCTTGGCCAAAATCTGGAGACAAGTACTTATGTTTGGGAGATATTGTTTGCTGTTTTCATCTCCATCTCTGGCTTGGTCTTATTTGCACTTCTCATTGGCAATATGCAGGTCAAATCGTTTTTTCCCCTCTCATGCTTCTGTTTTATTCATGACTTCATTTGTGTATCAGATAGTCTTTGGGAACCTATTGATAATGGTTGATATTTTTTTTTCTTTTTAAGCATTCCTGATACAGGCTCTTGTCCTTTGCGTATGTAATGTTTTGTACTTATACACCTACTGACTTCTTTAAAATCTGGTTCTGATAAAAAAAAAATCTTGGAAAATTGATGTTGCAGACAAGTTTGCATTTGTTTTTCTTTAAATATCTAAATCATACCAAAAATAGAAATGATTTACACATCAGTGATACTTTTATTAGCATCTCCCAGCATGGAAAAATTTATCTTGGTGTCTCACATGGGTTGCCTAAAGTTCTTCAATGAGTAACTATTATATGAACATCTACTAGGATTTCTGTTACCATGTGCATTAGCCGATGGGCTGCCATACTGCAGTGCTTGCAGCAGGTGCATTTTTTATCATCCAAGTGGAGCTGGTAGCGGAACACACACGCAGTCACACACACACACACACACACACACACACAGGCTGGAACAGCCGAAACCCCATACAAGAAAGATACTTCAAAAAATAAAGGTGGGAACTCGATGGACTATCAATTACGGCGTGATATGCCTTTCTTCCTTATATGCGGGAGGCCCAATCTATCATCAAATAAAGCGAGCCTAACATTTTGGGGAAGATTCGTTTCTGAAGCAAAAAGATCGTGAGATGAAAACCCACCACCATTTGCTGCCAATCTGACTGCTACGGAGTTAGCTTCTCTGTAAATGTGGTTGATGTTAAAAGTCATGGAGGATAACAATTGCATGATAACAATTGCATGATGATCATAATTGCCATGGAGGAGCAGTTGAACTTTTGTAAAGTCAACCATAATGAGAGAATCACCTTCAACTTCAACATTGCAGATTTACATATCTCTGCATAAAATTAGGCCCTCTCTAAAAACCATTAATTCAGCCCAAAAATTAGAACCAATACCAAAGCTAACAGATTTCACCGCTACCACTCTCCCTACTTGGTCATGAATCACTGTCCCTTTACCACGAGGACCAGGGTTTTGAATAGCTACACCATATGTGTTAAGTTCATAATAAAAAATGGTCGGCTTATTCCATTTAACTAACACCATCTTAGTGACAAAAAAGTGTTATCCAGCATATTAACCAAAGCCAAATCCTCTTTCACCATACTTGAGCAGGTGATCTTCGAGGTGAATATTTTACTTAGATCTAAACCTCATTGTAAGAGTCTAAATTTCAACTGTATCGTGGAGCTTTGTTTTCATACATTCGCTTGTTCCTCTCTAACCATAATTCCTAACAAAGAATAGATGGTAGACATATTCGAAGCATATCGTGCATAGAATTCAGATTAGTGCCTTTCCAGAAGAAGTTAAGCCATAAGGATATGGAAGTATTATTTTCTAGACAAATATTGAAAGCACTAGCCAACCACTACCCAAAGAAGTTTAGCTGATTTGCCTCCTATAAAGACATGGTCTATATTTTCAACTTATTTCTGAACACAACATCGCACAGACATACCGGCAGGCAAACAGCGATAGAAATCGCGAGCACTAGCGATATTATAATCAAAGGCAACCTTTCTAGATTAATCGCCACATGAAAGAGCCGCCGATCTTCGTTGGGTGGACAGGATTCCGAATAGCATTTCACAGAAACAATTGAACACAAGCCTGATCCCTTGCCACATTCCAAGCGTTGCTTGTAATGAGAATTCCCATTCATAGTTGATTGGACCAAACATAGTCATCTAGGTGCTTGAAGAAGATCATGAAAACCATTTAAGAAAATCTAAAAACATGGCAATCTACACTCGCTTCTCCACACCCTTCTTGAAAGAACTTCATTGACTTTTTAAAATAGGATAAAGTGATATCTTCTTTGACACCCACCAAATCCGCTCCACCCATTGAATCCCTACGATCGCATTGGTCAAACATCAAAAAATATAGCATCGCCCAGATCGAATGAGGCTATTAAGAGCAGTCCTAACCTCTTATAACATGAGAACTAATAGCTTTCAAGTAAGAGATGAGGACATGGGAGCATTCGAAGCTGAAGAGTATGAAGCATCCCTTCAAATATTTTTCTGTCATATAAACAAAGCCCAGGGGAATCACAAGGAGAAACACCGTACACTATATTAAAGAGAGAGGGCCTTCTCAAAATCAGCCAACTTTCGAATGCCGATGCCACGCTCGTTCTTTAGGCCTCGCTACATTCTTCCAACTACAACTATATGTTTGGAGTTCGCATCAATATAACCCTAAAATAAAGGTAGTCATATTTTTGTGCAAATCATTAAATGATGGATTTAGGAACTGGTATAGCCAGCAAACAAGATGGGCAAAGGTAGATTGGGATATCACATAGCCGATGATAAAATAAGTCTACGAAACTCGCACCTGCTGATTAACACAATTGAGCTTTCCATATGCAAATTAAATGAGATCAATTTTATCAATTAAGAAACTGAAAATGGAAAACTTCTTCGGCTTAATTTCCCCGTCAGCTATAGAGGCGAGGTAAATTAAAGGCCTATGTCCCACCCTCTAAAAAATATCTTTAAATAATATTGATACGAGTGGGTGGATCCTCCGTGAAGTATAGAGTGCTGCTTCTGAGGATTTAATTTCTGACCTGATATGCTCCCTCATACTTTTGAATAAACTGAAGGATCTGAGATAAAGTAGGATTTTAGCCATTAGCAATGGCAAAAGATAAGTGTATCGTCAGCAATAGAGAAGATGTGATGGCCATAGGAGCAATCTCTAGCTTGCTGGGAAGGCAATAAGCAAAGGGTTATCTTCAAAAAATCTTTTCAAGCCTCTAGATTAGAACTTCTTAGGGGAAGAACGAGCGCACGGCCGCACACGGCTTGTGGAGAACGAGACCTATAAATACATATTGCACCCTGGATCCGCCCCCCCCCTCCCAAAAAAAAAAAAAAGAAAGTCTCCCCCACCCCCCCCCCCCCACAGACAAAAGATCTGTTCACTAACAGGTCGCAAGCACGCGAATTACCAAACTGAAGAGATATCAATTCTGTAAACAAATTTTTATGAAAGAGCTGGAAAATCCGAATCTTTGAACACATCGAATAATAAAGCTCGATGCAAGCCTTATCAGTAGACTTTCATGCAATTTGAAAGCTTCATACTATATCCGCCCGCTCGCCACGGGGTTCTTTGACAGTGATAATTCTGAATTATTCATGAAGAGAAATATTTCTAACTATGTTTGCCTCTTTTATGAAAGCTCCTTGTTCAGCTCCGATCAATTTTAGGTAGAATGGAGGAGAGCCGAGAAGTAATAATTTTTGTTGTAATTTTATGCATAAGGACAGTTGCAGATTGTCAAAACTGAGAAAAATTAGCAGGCTGCCTCTACGTTATGAATGAAGAGAGAAAGTCGAGTTAACATGCTCTGAGAATTGCCTCTACTAAAACGTCTGAAATTGCATCATGAATGTTTGGATTTGATAATGTTCTCACACTGTGAAGATCAGAAATGCCTGGAACCCATCCGATCCAAGTGTGGCCATCCCGAGAGAACAAGGAAGGAGAAAAAGCGTGGGATAGAAATACGGAAAAGGGAAAAAAGAGATAGAGAGAGAAAAAAAAAGAGGTAAGAAAACGGAGAGAGGGAAAAAAAATGAAATAAAAGAACAAAAGAAAGAAAAGATGGCATAAACACAGGAAAGAAGACAAGCAAAAGAAAGAAACTAGGAGATTATTCATATTCTGGAAATAGCTTAAATTTGATCTCCCAAAAAGAATCTAAGTTCAAAGATAAATATCCTGCTGCGTTATTGATTGTGGGGATGATAATTCAACATCCTCCTGAGTTTGGTCACGCATGCGGTTCTGGACAGGCCAAAAAAAAGGACTTGAAGAAAATGTTTCTTACGCTGAAGAAAAATGAGGTCCCTATCCTCAGTCCAATGATCCATGCATCGCATACTGAATTTTGTAATTAAGAGCTGTTTTCTTTATTCAATATGGTAGTATGAGACAAGGAACGTGTTTTCCATCCCCTCTTTCAACCAATTTAATCCTGGATTTCTGTCTCCAAAGTACACTCTTGCAACAAACATTGTGAACGCTATCATTGCGTATTATGAAAGTAAATCAAAGGGCGCTGCAGGAGATTATTCTTGTTGCATGCCAATTCTTCAAGCCTGAAATAACAGGCTGCTTTTGCTAATTTTACTTTTTCATGAATTGTTGGGCAAAAAGGTATTCGCAAGTCCCCAGTTTTTCAAATCTGAATTTTGAGTTCTTTACAATTTTTCTCTAAAATGACGAAGGAGAGTCGACAACGGGTTCGAGCTCACACTTCCTTCACTTCAAGAGAAAGGTCTCGTGCAGATATGTCCACATCTGAAATTAAAAGAATTAGAACCTGGAAGTCGAAATTGCTTGTCATGAGATAAATCTACCCATAGACATGATCTGAAAAAGTTCTGCTGAGATGAGAAAATAATACGAGTGCCAAACTTAGATAGGCCATTCTGGAAATTTGTAAAAGACTATCGATCTCGACCGACACAATTCTAGTGCCTTGCGCGTTCCCAAGTGAAATGCTGTTGCCATGAAAGCCATTCAGTCGAAAACACCAGGAATTAAAACGCATGCAAAAATTCTCTAATAGAAAGCCAAGTCCCGGTGATTAGCCCCTCCTAATTGCTCATGGGATTAAAGAAATGCATTAGAATGCGGCCTCCTAATTCAAGCAGGGGCCAATCCACTCGAGATTCGAAACAATTCTAAGTGTTGCCGATAGTCCTCTATCTTTCAACAAAACCGAGGGCATTTGCATAGAATGAAAGATAAATGACATGTGAGCAGTTAAGAGGTCTAAAGATGGCCTGAAGAGAAATACACTGAAATAGAAAAAAACAATGGAATGACAAAAATACACTGAGACGAACATACACTGATTAAGAAAGAAGAT